TATTAATTGTATTGAATTATCGTAACTGACCTTTATTTTTGGCTGAGCAGTTTTACATTAATATTTTGTATATAATAGTATTATATTGCCTTTGATAATTTTTCTTCGTTAATCTGTAGAATATTTTAAACTGCTCTACGGTGCTTATGTTCACTTCTAGCCACAAAAGTTAAAGATGTTTGCGTGTTGATACACAATAGAAGGTTGAAACGTATATATTTATAGTGTATATTTTACAATGTGTTTACAATTAACAAAAGAGGAACGATTACGTTTTAGACTTTCATTCGCTGTGGCCTACTACGGACTTGCCTTAAATGCTCAGGGATTGGGAGGCAATATTTACCTGAACTTCGCCTTATTGGGCGCCGCAGATTTGCCAATTGTAGTACTTTCTTCGATCATTCTTGATAAAACTGGACGACGAAAACTACTGGTCTCTACTTTATTCTTTGGTGGTTTAGCCTGCATAGCGTCTGGTTTGATACCCAAAGGTTGGTAACATGTACATGTACAATTTAAGTGTCACCCCCTGAATCAGAGTAATCAAAGTAGGTAGATCTTGAGTAATTATAATGCCTGGTCTACTTATAATGTGACAAATGAGTATAAAACCGCTGTACCATGGAATTGTATAGTTGTTTTTTTTTTGTGAAATCTGATGTTAATAAAATGATACCAGAAGCATATCATTCCACAGCCATTTATCTCCCCCAAAGTATTGGTTCAGTAGGGGTGACACTTCTATAGTCCAGTGTGTGTATGTACTTTAAACTCATCAGAAAGGGAAAACACTTTATTTCCTCCACATATCAAAGTAATTTGACCTAAATTGATTTTGTTTTGTTAGGATAATGTTTTATTCTCATACGAATCCAAGTAACATATCATTTTTTTTTATCATATTGCGTATGAATATGCGTATGTGAAGTATCAAAGATCTCAAAACCACGATATTAAATTAAAAATTTTTCTAGTTGATCATTTTGAAATTCGAAAAATGATCAGGTAGTAAATTAACACGAATCATGATGTTCGTTTTAGATTTCCAGTGGTTAGCCATTGTATCAGCAGTGGCGGGTAAAATGCTGATCTGCGCAGCTGGTGCACTGAATGACCTCGTCGTGTCAGAAGTCTTTCCCACTGTTATAAGGTACACTATTGTTTGGCATTTGGGATTTTATAAATCCACTAATCAGCATGCTTATTGTTAACTGAAACAACATTGCGAGATTAGAGTAAATTATTCAAATCTATCTATCGCTTTCTTTCCTTGTGTTGTACTTATAACGCACTTCAGGTGTCCGACCGAATTATTTTTGCTTAAGCTTCGTGATTACCTTTCTTTGCTTTAAAAACTCTTAAAATCCTTTTTGGGTTAATATGTGTTGATGGAAATAATCTTCTAAATTTCTTTGCTTTTTTTTTTAAAAAAAACTTTTAAAATTCTTTTTGGGTCAAATTCGTGTTGATGGAATTAATCTTCTATTTTCAGACACACTGGCCTTAGTTTCTGTGTTTCCTTTGGCAGAATGGGAGGTGTTCTAGCCTCACAAATTTTATTTCTCAAAACTATATATCAGCCACTGCCCTTCATCATACTTGGTTCCTTGGCCATAACTGGAGGATTTGTGTCTTTTTTCCTCCCGGAGACCCGAGGAAAGCCACTGTTACAGACCTTAGAGGCATGGGATATAGAACTCAATGGCAGGAGGTAGTGATTTTATTGTTATTCAAATTAGAACTACGAAAGCAGTTTATCTATTCTTGCCCCGCTTCCATTTTACTGGTGACTATTTAAAAAAATATACTAGTGCTTGTGACCGACGTGCAATGTCTATTGATTTTCAAGAATATATATATTTACAGTAAATGTTTCAAATTATTTGCCATTGTAACTTGCCTTTTAATTATTGAATAGTTTATTATATATTAAAGTTTTCCTGTACTTAATATTAACCCGTTCCACAGCTGTAAACATGCATATTATACGTTAAAAACGTCACGAAAGGTGTTTCCGATAGTATTGTTACATGTAGTATTAGGTTCCCACCACGCAATTGCTTAACATTTCTGTAAAATTAATATATATCCATGTAATTATCATGGTATTTCCTTAAAGTTGGAGATATACATTTGTGATAAAACTTCAAACCTCCTCTTCAACCTCCTTTTTATTGTTTTATCTTTCCAGTTTGAAAAATCAAGCTCAGCAAGATGAAAGAGACGCTGATGAAGTGGAACTTGAAAATATGAAAAGTGACCAAATTGCAACAGGGTGAAGTGGATCGAGACCTGTTCACTTGGGTCTTTCACATTGCCAGATCAAGTGCCTCGCCTACCTCAGCCTATGACACTCTATGTAAAACAGTTATATTGAGAAAGACATAAAATTTGAATTATTATACCCTTCGTAAAATTCTTAGCCTTTGATTGGTCAGTTACAGTGCCCTATTATGTATAGTATGCGTGTAGTTTATTGTCTTTCATTATTACTCATAACTAGGCCTCTGATTGGTCAGTTTTAAAACCTGTTAAAAAGGAGATTGTCACATAAGATGTCAAAATTGTCTGGCTGTGGTGTTATTATCACTACAGTTCATAAAATATTTAGAATATTTTAATTGTTTAGAAATGATAAACGCAGCCGTTACGGTGACACCGACTAAGTATGTTGCATTTCTTGCCGCCATGTACGAAATTGCCAAATCATTAACATCTCATCCAGGTTTGGCCTTACAGAAATCTGAAGCGGACTTCTATGTTGCATCAAAAAAAAGATAATAATAATAATAAAAAAAAA